GTGTGTACATACACATGTATACATATATGTGTATATACATGTTCCCATATTCATATCTGAAGGTGCACAGGAATTTCACCCCAAAATATGACTCCTTGGTATGAAGAATATTTTGAATTAAAGGCCCTTCCAGATAAAAAGGGCATTGGAAGGGGCCTTCCTGCTATTTGCATAAACCCTACTGACAGATCAAAAAGAACAATGGACTTCCCTTCCTCTCCCTGTTATCTCAATATATTGCAGAACGCAACCAGACCTGGCCCAAATCATTTTAAACATAACACCTGTCTCTCAGGTTAACTTACACGTCAATCTGTTTCCTCATCCATTTGTCCTCCCTAGCAACCATTTATTGCCCCTGAATAGAATTACCTACACCCCTCGTTTTCCCCTACCCTCTAAAAGGCAAGCATAAAAATATCTGGATCCCACTGGGATATTGAGTCCACTACTCAATATCACTCTGTGATTCTCTGCCATCTCTGTGAGAGTCACTCTGTGATTCTCCCCGTGTGTGTGGTAAATAAACCTTTTCTTTTATTAATCTGCCTCAGCTGCCCTGCTCACTCTCTCCAAGGCCACAGAGAGGAAAATGGGGACTCCAACCAGCCAGCAACATGGTAAGATTCCCTAACTTTCCGGCCAGGCTCCTGGTTCTCCTGTCTCTCTGTGGGCTGCGGTTGAGCAGGTGGTGAAAGATCATTGTGCTTTCCAAATGTCAGATTAATGAGAGGAAAGCTTTTTGTGAGTGACTAGTCTTGTGAGGGACTCTGGTATTGGTGCTTTTTTTGGTACTTTGCGGTATGAATATTCATATTGTCTGATTCCCTCTGCTCTCAGAAATAGCCTTTTTTTTGTCATTGTTGATTCATTGTTGTTGATTTCTTCTGCCGTTGTCTTTCTGTGTTGTTTTTGTCATAAAGAGCGTTACCATGGACCAGAACCCAGGCCTAGCACCTCCAGATGCCCGACGTGTGAGTCGGCCCTGTGCACGGGCCAGTGACACGGTTCTGGCTAGACCGGTGTCTATCAAGACAAACTTTGCTGCAGGTTCCCGCAGACAAACCCGAGTCAGGTTTCCCTGTCGTCCTGTTTCATGTCCCTGAGCTCGTCTTCAGACTGCGTGGGGAATTCTCTCCTCAGTCTCCGCCATCCGGGGACATGTCAGACGGCCAATCTGAAGAGACTGGGAGTCCCAGACACACAAGATTCTAAACTGCACACTCTTTATACCGAACGTGTCAAGCTCTGGGGGAGTGAGTCGTTGTCTTAAAAGGTCTTTGTCTATCATAAGTCTATTTCTGAGAGTGAATTTTCAGGAATCTTGGGAACTGCCTTCTCTGTGCCTTTTCCAGGCTAAACCTGGAAAATTACCACCTCGGTTTTCTATGAAGAGGCGTTGGATTGAGTCGCTTTCGCAGTAAATATGCTCTTGAGATTAACGACCGCAAGGTGGTTCTTTTAAATTAAAAGACTTCTGATTTTTTAAAAATAAACTTTAGAGATCTCTTATTGGAAACAATTGCCTTATTTGTATTAATAAAGCTAGATTAAAAGAAAGACACAGATTTTTATGGCTAGCCTTAAAGATTCTCTTGACAAAATTGAAGAGCAAATATCTGATCTAAAACAAGATAAAAATCCTTTGACTCCTTACTATCCCTGTAGAAATGATAGCAAAAGCCAGTTTGTGTCATAGCCTAATGGCTAAGGTTTTATGCTTTTTACCCCAGCAGCCTGGGTTTGATTCCTAGACAGGGAATAGGCCTATTCTGGTTTGATATTTGTATAACTTTCACTGTTCATTGATGATCTTCCCTTCTGCTCATAGCTTTTGCCTTCCTGTATTTTGTGGATACATTTGAGGCTTTTAGATATTTATGTATGAATGGTCAGCTGAAAAACTGGGACCCTAGAAAACAAGACTGGAAAAAATTCTGGGTTACACGATCTTTTTTATGACTAGTGAGACTTTTCTTTCTTTGAGGTGCTTTTGTGACTTTTCTGGATCTTGCAAAAATTGTTCTCCACCTCTTTAAAGGCACCTCTTTCTTCCTTGATTAAGTTACAACCTTGGTTAAGCCTTATTGGTTTCACTTAAAAAGATACTCAAGGCTGGGTGCGGTGGCTCATGCCTGTAATCTTAGCACTCTGGGAGGTCGAGGCAGGAGGATAGCTTGAGGTCAGGAGTTCAAGACCAGCCTGAGCAAGAGCGAGACGCTGTATCTACTGAAAATAGAAAAATTAGCTGGGAATTGTGACGCATGCTGCAGTCCCAGCTACTCGGGAGGTTGAGGCAGGAGAATCTCTTGAGCCCAGGAGTTTGAGGTTGCTGTGAGCTAGGCTGACACCACGGCACTCTAGCCCAGGTGACAAAGGAAGACTTCGTCTCAAAAAACAAGATACTTTAGTTTAAAGGTTCAAACATAGATATACAGACAGAAACAGTTCTAGTAGCTCTTCTAAAGAATTTATTTGCCAGCTCTTAAATATTTCTCTTCTTTTATTCAGACTACCAATCTTTTAATTACCTATTTTATTATTTTAAGCAATTACTAGCTAGGCAACAATTTGCCCTTATTAAGGCTTTGCCATTTCTGTAAGAGTTTGTTGTTTCCAGGGCCTAATATTTATATATGCATGGCATACTAGAGCACTCAGTTTTTCAGAACTTAAGGATCCTATTTTCACCTTGAACCTTGGCTTTAGCTCTCTCTATGATCAACTTAGGCAATGATTTTTCCTTACCCAAGAGCACAAGCAAAAGGAACAAAGGGATAGAACAAAGAAATCTCTGCAAATTCCTGAAAGCTGGAGTCTATACCCCTGCAGTGTTGCCATTTACTGTTGGTTTCTGCCTGACACAGTCAGATATTTGAGGCCTGTAACTGGAATCTAAGCTCATTATTAATTGTCAGATCTAATCTGATCCCAGACCTAGTTCAGTTTCTGTCATGACTTCTCAACCCAGTTAGGATAAAAAAATTTGCTCAAACAAACTCAGGGAGCTCAAAACACAGAGCTGTGGCACTGTGGGATCTAAGGAGAACTTACCCCCAAGCCCAGCTGCAATGAGAGAGAAAAGGACAGCAGGTCCCACGACGGGTCCCGCACTCGGACTCTCAGTGCCCCTGGGATCTCTGGGAGCTCTATCTCCGAACCCACTTTTGATAAAAAGTAAATTGATAGAGTTTAATTGAGCAAAGAGCAATTCGCAAATTAAGCAGCTAAACTAGAACAGGTTCAGAGAGACCCCAACGCTGGTGAAGAGTCATGGACAGAAAAGAGACAGTGACACACAGAGAGTGGAACTGAGGTATAGACACGGCTGGACTGGTTACAGCTCAGCATTTGCCTTACTTAAGTACGGTTTGAACACTGTCTGCCTTTGCTTTGCCAAAACCCTATGGTTGGCAAAGATGAATGGAGTCAACTTTGCTCAAGCAAAATGCTGGCTGTTTCCTCCACTAAAGTCTGCTCCATTCGCCTTCACTCTTCCCTGCTCCTTCCTCTTTGCCAATCATAGAGTTTTGGAAAATCAAAGGCAATAAAAAAAAACCATTTGTATATCAAGATTCTAAGTTCTTTTTGGTGCTCACGACTCTTTGCCTGGCATTTGGAACTCGTGAGATTGAAAAGGCAGTTTTGACTCTCCCCGTGGTAACAGGACAAGAGTTCAATATTGCCATACAATCCCTGGGAGCACCTCAGTTGGGTGTCAACAGCCTGCCTTCTGCTGTGTCTCAAAACCGTGTATCCTGGGTGCCCTGACACCCCAACATGGAGGAGCTTGTGTGACTATTGGCAAAAACGCTTGCCACTCAGGGCGAGTGGAGACTGTCATCTATACCTCTTAAAACACCAGTCCCCCGCCCCCAACCTTTTTGGCATCATGGTTTCATAGAAGATAATTTTTCCATGGACAGGGTTGGGATTGGGGCAGAGCTCTGGAGGGCTGCTGTAAACATGCTTGCCCCTCACTCACCTCCTGCTGTGCACTCCCCCTTCCTAAGTCTCATGGAAGACAATTTTTCCATGGATGGAGGTGGGGGTGGAGAGCTCTGTGGCACAGTCCCTAACAGGCCATGGACTGGTACCAGGGGTTGGGGTTGGAGACCGAAGTCTTCAAAGAGAAGGTAAATATTCTCTATCAGATTAATGAGGACCTATTCCTAGGAATGGGAGATTGGTTTAATGGGGTATGGGCAAATGTGATTAGATCTGTTCTTTTTTACTTATTTATTCTCATCCTAATCTATGTTCTTGCCTCCCTTTTCAGATCTCTTGTTACTTGACTTCTAAACACATCTCTCCCTCCACAGCCATCACTCAGCTTTTACTATGTGAAACTTCTAGGGAAGCTCCAGACAAGCGGAATGAAGGAGCTCAGGAAATTTCACCTCAAAAATATGACTCCTTGGTATAAAGAATATTTTGAATTAAAGGCCCTTCCAGATAAAAAGGGCATTGGAAGGGGTCCTCCTGCTATCTCCATAAGCCAGACTAACAGATCAAAAAGAATAATGGACTTTGCTTCCTCTCCCTGTTATCTCAATATATTACAGAATGCAACCAGACCCGACACAAATCCTTTTAAGCATAACACCTGTCTCTCAGGTTAATTTACAAGTCAATCTGTTCCCCCATCCATTCATCCTCCCTAGCAACCATTTATTGCCCCTAAATAGAATTACTAACACTCCTCATTTCCCCCCCTCCACTCTAAAAAGCAAGTATAAAAATATCTGGATCCCGCCTTTCTGCCCGTGGACACTGCCAAGGAAGCATCATTAAAGCCTCTCTTCCCACTGCCGTTGTGTCTAAGTCAGAGTCTCCTAAAGAACCCCACAGCCGCGGAAGCTCTTCATTGGAGGGTTGAGCTTTGAAACGACCAATGAGAATCTGAGGAGCCATTTTGAGTGATGGGAATCGCTCATGGGCTGTGTGGTAATGAGAGATCCAAACACCAAGCACTCCAGGGGCTTTGGGTTTTGTCACATATGCCACTGTGGAGGAGGCGGATGCACAAGGTGGATGGAAGAGTTGTGGAACCAAAGAGAGCTGTCTCCAGAGAAGATTCTCAAAAACCAGGTGCCCACTTTGTTGGTGGCATTAAAGAAGACACTGAAGAATATCACCTAAGAGACTATTTTGAACAGCATGGGAAAATTGAAGTGATTGAAATCATGACTGACAGAGGCAGTGGCAAGAAGAGGGGCTTTGCTTTTGTAACCTTTGATGACCATGATTCTGTGGATAAGACTGTCATTCAGAAATACCATGCTGTGAATGGCCACAACTGTGAAGTAAGGAAAGCCCTGTGGAAGCAAGGGATGGCTAGTGCTCCATCCAGCCAAAGAGGTCGAAGTGGTTCTGGAAACTTTGGTGATGGTCTTGGAGGTTGTTTTGATGGGAATGACAACTTTGGCCATGGAGGAAACTTCAATGGTCGAGGTGGCTTTGGTGGCAGCCGTGGTGGTGGTGGATATGGTGGCAGTGGGCATGAGTACAATGAATTTGGTAATGATGGAAGCAATTTTGGAGGTTTGGGAAGCTACAATGATTATGGCAATTACAACAATCAGTCTTCAAACTTTGGACCCATGAAGGGAAGAAATTTCAGAGGCAGAAGCTCCGGCCCCTAAGGTGGTGGAGGCCAATACTTTGCCAAACCATGAAACCAAGGTGGCTATGGTGGTTCCAGTAGTACCAGTAGCTATGACAGTGGCAGAAGATTTTAATTACTTCCAGGAAACAAAACTTGGCAGGAGAGGAGAGCCTGAGAAGTGACAGGGAAGCTATGGGTTACAACAGATTTGTGAACTCAGCCGAGCACAGTGGTGGCAGGGCCTGGCTGCTATAAAGAAGACATGTTTTAGACAATACTCATGTGTATGGGCAAAAAAACTCAAGGATTGTATTTGTGACTAATTGTATAACAGGTTATTTTAGTTTCTGTTCTGTGGAAAGTGGAAAGCATTCCAACAAAGGGTTTTAATGCAGATTTTTTTTTTGCACCCATGCTGTTGATTGCTAAATGTAATAGTGTAATTATGACGCTGAATAAATGTGTCTTTAAAAATATATATATCTATATATGTATATAGATATATATCTGAATCCCATTGGGATGTTCAACAATCATTCTGTGATTCTCCCCATGAGCATGATAAATAAACCTTTCTCTTATTAATCTGCCTTATTTGTGAGATGATCTTTCAGCCAACTTTTGGAGGAAGGGGCAAGTTTCCCCTCAAACCTGCATATCCAGATACATATGCATGGCTCTGTGTATACACGTGCACAAACACACACATGCACACGCCTACCATGCCTGGCGGTGTCTGGCACACGTTCCTCATCCTTGCTCCAGAACAGATGATGCACAAGTCTCCTTCAAACAATATCCTTCCTAAACAAACATAAAATGGGTATCATTTCTAAAATGTGATCTTAAAGAACACTGGACCTCTATCCTGTCACCAAGCCTTTCTAGGTCACCCCTCCTCCTCCCCACTGCAGACTGGGAAGTGCTTGGGCCCTGTGGAATTGCAGGCACGCCTACACCCCAGGCTGCATTCTTTCAGGAACTGAGCTCAGATCCCCTTGGGATCCTGTTAAAATGCAGATTCTGAATCAGACTTTCGGGGTGGGGCCGGAGGGTCTGCATTTCTGACTTGCTCCCAGCTGGTGAAGCAACTTCACACACAAGAGTACATTTCCCAGGAGGGCTGCAGAGGTCTCTGCTACTCCGTGGAATCTGGAAATCTCGGCTCTGCAAGAGGGAGCGAGGCCTCAGCGCAGCTCATAGTAGTTGGTTAGACATCCAATGATTTACTTACTTCAACAGGTATTTATTGAACAAAGGTGCCATGGGCCACAGCAGGTCTTTCATGACCAAAAGGTCTTGGTTTTATTAACTAGAGTGTGTTTTACAGCTGTCACTATTGAGAGTCTGCTCTTGAACACTAGCACAGAGTTCTGCAAATATAAACAGGTATTTCTAAGAAATTGCGTTATTTTTAACAACTGGCAAAGCAGTAGTAAATATATCTTTAAAAAAACCAACGAAGAAATACACATGGGAGAATTAAAAAAAAGTGGTTGGGGAGAGCCTCGGCTCTGGCCCTTTAAGACAAGGACAGGGCGTTCTAGCTCAGCAGAGAGCTTTTCTAGAAGCATTTCCTTCAGGCTCACCACCCATTGTTTGGAAGGAAAATGGAGTGCATTGACCACCCTTGGCAGAGATCTAAGGTCCTGATTCCACCCCACTGCACTTCAAGCTAATCAAGAGACTCCCTTATATTGTACTGTTTATGTGTCCAAAACCAAGCTCATTGTCCTGAGTCCCTCTGTGATCTGCCTGTGTTATCTCAGTAACTGTATTTGCAGAGGAGGAAGATCCTTAAAATAACAGCCATTATCTTGCATGCTTGGCATCTGCAAAGTATTGTCCTGATCTGCACATGGTAACAATGCTAAAATTACCAGAAAAGATAAGTATCTACATAATACCTCAAGATGCTTAGCCAGGCAGGCAAAGCAAAAGGAAGGTAATTTAGTGCCTCCCTGAAGGCCAGGTGACCTCACCCATGGCAGGACAAAGGAGCAAGCAGCTGCAGGATAGGAGAAAGAGTGTCCTTTAGATAGGATAACTGCTGGGAACATACTATTAACAATTTTGTGTGGGGGACAGATATTATCAGTAGACTAGGGCCTGGAAAAATTAGAGCTTCCGAAAATAAAGGGGCTGAGGCAGTAAATGGTCTCATCAGTGGTCGAATTAGTTAAATGTATAGTTTTGTCCTATTTTTTGAAATCAAAACAAAAATGCAGAGATGAATCTCTAAATTTAGCACCTCTTTTGGGAAGAAAGAATTGCAATTCAGGGTGCACACGAAGATTCTGTGGTCTTCAGAATGTCCAAAGAACAAAGGGAAAGTTGGAGGTTTTACAGCAAAGAGGAACGTTACATATTGCTCTGTGAGAAACTTCATTGGCACCACTGAGTTCCAATTGGTGAGCAAAGGCAGTGGGTAAAATGAGTCTCAGAGCTGCAGCAGGTCATTTTAGCAACTGGTATGTAAAACCGGTTTCAGGTTACAGCAAGCAGTTTCAGCAGCCCAGCTTTCAGAGAATTACATCCTTGGAGCAGGGCTGTGTATACTGAGTGTTTTTTCCTCCCAGCTTCTGGACTCCGTTTTAGTTGGTATGAGGAGAATGACTCAATTCCTGTGATCGACTGTCACAGGTGGTTCTTGTGTTTCTCACTCGAAGAGATTGCCTATCCTTTGGAAGAGCAGACATGGAAGAAAGAACAACAAAACATGGCACCTTCCAGCCAGCAGAAAAAAGAGAAAATGCAGGAGCCCCAGGACACTCCCAGCTTCAGGGGGTGGTGGCTGAAGAGGGTGAGCAATGGATGGGGGTGGTGGGGACTTCACGTCCTGTTCCAGCCTTCTAAACCTTTCTTTCAGCATACTACATTGAAGAAAGTATGAAAAGAAAGAGCCACTTTTTTCATTTCCTTTATTCTGCTCTCTTTTCAAGTATAGGTCATACTTATTATAGAATATTTGAGGGGAAACAGATTTTTTCTTTAAAAAAAAAAAAAAGAAATACCACCCATAATCCCACTACTCAAAAATTACTGTTAGTGACTTGAATATTCTTTCTATATATCTATACACAGTCCTTTTAGTAAATTTCCACAGAAAAGTTGTAACAATAGTTCAAAGACTTCCATATACCCTTTTCCCAGATTAAATGTTTACATTTCACCCCATTATCATTCTCTCTAACTCCCCTTCTAAATTATTTGAGGGTAAATCCAGGAAAGGTAGTTCACCCTGTAATACCAGTGCTTTGGGAGGCTAAGGTGGGAGGATCACTTGAGGCCAGGAGTTTGAAGCCAGGCTGGGCAAGATAGTGAGACCCCATCTCTACAAAAACAAAATCAAAAATTATCCGGATGTGGTGGCACCCGCCTATAGTCCCGGCTACTCAGGAGGCTGAGGAAAGAGGATCCCTTGAGCCCAGGAGTTTGAAGCTGCAGTGAGCTGTATCATGCCACTGCACTCCACCCTGGGTAACAGAGCAAGACCCTGCCTCTAATAAATAAAAAAAATAAATAAATACATAATTTGAGAATAAGTTACAACATCCTACAGACATACTCCCTAAACATTTAAATGTTTTTTTTTTCCTTGAGAACATGAACATTCCCTTACATAACCATAGTACAATAATCAAAATCGGGACATTTAACATTAAACTGTACTACTATCAAATCTACAACCACATTAAATGCCAGCAATTGTCCCAGGGATGCCTTCGTGTCCCCCTCCTTGTCCAGCATCCAACACAAGACCACTCAGGCATTCACTGTGCAGTGCCCTTGCATCTCTTTGGTCTGGAACAGCCCCCTCGCTCTTCACTGTGCTCCTTGACCTTCATGGTTTTTGGAGAATATAGGTCAGTTATGCTGCAGGACAGCATAACTCGGTTTGGGTCTGCCTGATGCTTCCTAAAGAATCCATTTGGGCAGTAATGCCACAGACGTGACTTCTGTTCCCATCGGGGCATCACATCAGGTGTTATGTTAGCTGGTCTGTCCCGGTGTTGCTGATTTGAGATTCCATCACTTGGTTTAAGGTGGTGCTCACCAGGTCTCTTCATAGAAAAGCTACTATTTTCTAAAAGTGAAATTCTGTCACTTCATCTTGCATCAACCCAGAATGTTACTATATACTTTAGAGAACATTTCTGCCCCATAAAAGACAAAGAGCTTCATTTGAATCCTCCAAAAATGGTGGCAGTTGGATGTCAAGGAAATATGGGCATGTAGGTTGCAGGATGGCTTGGGTGCTGCTGCTGGTGGTAGGAGGAGGGGGGCGGATTTGGGGTCTCCATCCAATCAGAAGACACCGACTGTCCACCAAAGTCAAGAACACAGGCTCTCAAACTAGAGCACCAGCAGAATCTTCTAGAGGGCATGTCAGACAGCTTCCTGGGCCCCCAGAGTGAATGATTCAGAGCCAGAGAATGGAGCTTAGAGCCCAGAATCTGCATTTATCTGGGGTGCAAAGGGATGCTTATGCTGCTGGTCCAGGGATCCCACTTTGAGAACCAGTGGCCTGGTGGTCTTTAAAATGATGATGTCTAGCAGCGACCTGCCCAAACAGGGGATTTCTTTCTCTGGGAATTATCCTGTCCTGCGGGCTAAACCTGAGAAGTTCATGGCCACCATCTCAAAGTCCGCTGTGGCCTCCAGCTCCTCACATCACTGTTGTTTAATGTTGGCTATAGAAATCACCTCATTCAAATCATGGAGCTCAGATTTTTTTTTTAGAAAAAGGTTTATGATGTTGAGAATACTGCAAATCCATTCTATCTGCTCTGCTCCAAAATCATCATCTTGTCCACATTTATAAGTAATGGGAATGTTTATGAATATGCACTTAGCTCCAGACTCTGGAGCTAAGTGGGCCCAGGAATCTGCACTCTAACAAGAAAATCCAAGAGACATGCATTCGCTTCTGAGAGCTCCTGTTATAAACCCTTCGCAGGGCTGCTTCGAGGATCAGCTGTGACAGTTTCTGATCTCCTTTACACGGCCCTTTTACCCATTTTCCAGAGCAAGACT